CTTTGACTACCTCGACCTAATCCAATGACACCGGCGCAGGGTGTTGGTCGAATCTGGACGTCATGCAAAACTTCGATCCCAATGGCCGAGATAGTCCGCTAAACGCCCACGACCTGCTTTCACGCCTGCAACGTCCCGTCGAAAGTCCACACTCCCTCGTCAAGGCAAATCCCTTCCCTATCAGAGGACTTGTTTGTGGCGTTTCATCCAGGCCCTTGACGGACGGGTAGCTGCAGGTTTGATGCATGGAAGAAGAGGTCAGCGAGGCTTGGAAGACGCTCTTCCGTCCACAGCGCGAGACCTCGACGGACCCGGATACACACCGACGCAGGTCAGTAGATCCTCCGTTCCATGGCCTGAGGAGGAAGAGACTCCCGAGGCCCGACTCCATCTGTTGTGTCATTAACAGACCAGAAGGAAGGAAACTTCGGTTTGGTACCGTCGATAGCAGCTCGCATGATGAAATCTGCCAGTCAGCAGGTTGTAAGGGGAAGGGGTCATTCTGCCACGATTGCGTCCTCAGACATCGGACGTGGACACAAAGAATTGCTTGCTTGAATGCCCCCGTGGCCTTGGGCCATTGAGAGGCTTGGCCAGCAAAGTCAAGTCGTACATGCTCTCGCCCCCTGCAAAAAGACCTCGTCTATGGCGGCTTTGGTCTGTCCCCGGTACGTTCTCTCGACAGCTTGGCGATAGCGGCTTTCTATTTTGCGCCAACAGTCTACACGCCCTGATATCGTATTATGCCAAAGGAACCACGGAAGCAAGGCAAAGCACGCCTTTTGAAGTAGGAGACTGGGGGTCTTGGTGCTCTCCACACAATCCAATGTCCCTTCACGGCTGTCTCAGAGTCTGCACAACCGATTTGCTCACGCGTGGAGACTAATCCCCCGCCCGACATCGTCTTCCTTGCCCCTTCGACTCTGGGGCCATCGGCAGTGTGCTTGCAAAATTTGGTTGTCTGTTATTGCTTGGTCTGTGCGACCTCTATTGAGCAGTCAGTCGCATGTTGAGCCTCCAATCCATCTTCGCTGCTTCTGTACGATCTCAAGTCAGCCACATCTGGGGTTCTGGTATATAGATACCTGGTTCCAAGATCCTGCACTCTGTCGGTCTTTTCGCATCTTCTTGATCTGTCACTTTCGCCATACCAAGAATCGCCTCGGATATTGAATTTTTTCCAGTCCAGGACTTGATATCAGATCGTCGAAGCTTCTTCACATCAACCACGCACGCCACAGACACTTGACTTGGACGCCTGAGTTTGGGACTCGCTTACATATCTGGACGTACGCGGCCACCAACGAAAGACAACTAGACGAAACGTACCAAAAGGCAAGCCTAGTCCACCGTCCCTCTTCTCTCGGGTCTTGATCAGTTTCTTCCATCGAAATATCGTTTTTCGACGAGTGGCGATGGCCCCCCAAAACCATTTACACCAACGGTTGTTGGTTTGGACCCATCTTGCCGGCTCTCCCACGCGGGACCCCCAATCGCCTCTATTACGGCGGGCTATCGTTGCTCGCGCGGGGTTTGCCATGGAAATAACGGCGTCGGATTGGTACGCAAAAGAGCAAAAGCTGACATTCACCAGGTAGCATAATTAGTTCTGCTCTTCTTCCTGCAAGTGAGTGAGCCCCATTTCAATCATTTTGAGTTCTTGGGGAAACGTCCGAGTGGATCGTTTTGTCCCAAGACAAGTGGTCTGGCGCAAGACGACGATTCATAGCATGTCGTGCTGTGAAGAGCAGACGTCGAGTTAAGCTGGACGGTTTGTCACGATTTACGGCCCATCGGCGTGGCTTGCGCCGTACCCGTCGATGAATGGCGGTGTCCCTAACATGACCAGTCATTCCGGCTTATGGGGTCCAAAAGAAACGGCCACCTTCCTTTCTGACGAAAGTCATTTTCCGTTGCTGACAGCAGATTTGAAATGGACAGTTCGGGCAGGATAAAGAGCTGCGACCAACCCCTTGGCATGACAGGGGCACTTTTAGACAGTCAACCGGTGAGTCTCCAGGCCCCAAATCTCCAAAGTGAACGAGGAGGATAAGACATGTTGGATTCGAATCGAGGCAATTCCGCGTCAACTCGCGGTACTTTGCCAAAAGACCAACAACCAACAAGCAGAGGCGGTTTCGGCTCTGACGGGGGTTGGAAGGGAAGGATCTGACAAGGATGTTTTCTGGAGCGTTACAGTCCCGTCTGCTAACAGCTGAGGGGGAGAAAAAGAGGATCGAGGAACTGGGGCGAGAAGACCGCTGCTCCAGCACCAGCACCAGTACCAGCACCGGTACGAGCACCAGCATCAGCACCAGATCTCCGCCTCTCTATTACGGTGCGACACCCCTCGTTGCCGGAGTCGACCGTCGTATGAATCCTCAACAGCTACCCAAGGTACCTGAGCTTTTATCTTTATTTTTTCCGGATCCTGTCCCGTTCCCTAATCCAATCCGATCGCTTCCTGTCGCTTTCCCCTGCAATGCGACCTTTGACGCTTCGTTTTTCCCCTTTCCCACTTTCCCTCCAATCTCTCGCATCAGGACGCTATGCCGGACGGAGGACAACGGCTACGACAACCGCACCGAGCAGCAGAATCAGCCAGGAGCCGAATTGATTAACCCAACCCAATTTTTGGGGTCTCGGTCGACCAGGTGGTCAGTCGACGGGTTTTGCACAACACAGCTCTCGGCCTAGTACAACTCGGCGCAACAACCGTCGGAAGAGAGCCCTTTTTTGGTTTTTCAAAATCAACATAGCCAACGGCGCTTGACGGGGGTGGCAGGCAAGGCAAAGAGGCAGACAAGCACTGTTACTGGGCCAAGCCGCTTCCCGACGGCGTGATCCTGTTCCGAGGGGCAGACAGGCGAAGAAGCGGGCCGAGAGTGAGGCTTCGCGAAAAAAACCAAAGGTGCGTACGCGATTCGACGCTCATTGCTTTTTCTTGTTTCTCCCGCTCAGTACACCTTCATCAACGGCAGTTTGGATTTTGTTTTATTCTCAATCATTGCCCCTGTTTTCCGACACCCTCACCAGCCTGCATCTGGAGTATGAGACACAGAGAGAAAGAGAGAGAGAAGGCGGGGATATTCTACACATGCACCTGTCGAGGTCGGATGCCCTCGTGCCTTATCCGGTCTTGGGACGATCGACTTCACTCCTTGGACTTGGTGAGGTGCACAAGACTGGAGGCCGTGGCCTTCTCATGCGGATCAGTACCACACCAGCGCCATGCGTCCGGCACCTAGGAGGCGCTGGCAGGCATCGCAGCGCCTCTCGCTCTTGAATGAGGTGAGGTGGGCTGGGCGGGTGTGCAGGTGTGGGCGTAGGTGTGTGTGCGTCTCTGCGTCTCTGCCTCTCTCTGCCTCTCTCGCTCCCCGTCTCTTTCTACTTCTGCAACTGCCTCTCATGTGTGCGCACCGCACGACTTGTCACTCTAGTCTGTCGGCTAGCTGGCTTGCTGATATGCAAGCAATTGCGAGACGGCCTGCCAGCAAAAGCGTACACTGAGGTGCCTGACGGTAGTGAGCTGTACTGTTGGTGTCCCATGTTGCCTCCTCTTCCTATCATGTTACTGCACCGGTCGGCCTCAACAAGAAGAAGTGCAGACCGACCAAATCATACCCCTCCGCTGCCACCGCCTCCTTCGTCTCCCCATGTTGTTCCTACTCATGTTGCCTCCTTGTGCAAAAGATGTCTCTCTTTGGCGTCTCGAGCTGACCGAACGATTTGCAGGCCACTCACTCACTAGCTCGTTAGCCTGCCTGTTCAAGATGGATCACGCCTGAAGCGGCCCTTCCATTTCTATCACGGCTTTCCGAAGGTTGCAACGGCACAGCGTCTGGATCGGATTGCGAGATCTTGTTGACTGTTTCATTGTCCGTTTTTTTTCTCCTTCGAGAATGATGGTCTAACACGCTCTTCCTTCCACACAGGAGTTCGAACCGTCGACGGGGTATGAATACCTCCACATACAAGCATCAGGCAATGACATGCGGTAAGTGGCGATTCCATTGGCTTCTGCATCCCCGTCTGCCGGGGGGATTCGTTGAAATAAGGTCTCCTGCTCTGTCTATGTGCCCTGCCTGCCTGCCCGGGCTGCAGTGCGCCAGTCGGCTCTGGTTCCTCTTTAAATGTCCAGACATCTGCAGCCCCCAGCAACAAACCTATCCCCACCATCCCAGCACTCCCTTCTTTTTACAAGTGTAGACCACAGGTTCTTGGCTCAGCCTCTTCTCTTCTGCTCAACCTTCGGCTCGAGTTGTCTTGGTTGACGAGAGGCTCGGCTCGGCTCCAACAGGAGTCGCGTTGCAGAGGCAAAAGAAACCTGGCTCTCTCTCTCTCTCCCCCCTTTCCGCGACAAAAGACAAAACAAGTCCGAAATCAGAGAGAGCAAAAAAGACATGAAGAGGCATGGGTAGCTGCTTTTTGGCACCCAACGTGCCACTAGAAATCCGCAGGTGTTGGCGTTCCCGCCTATCGCCGCGAGATGGTGGTGTGTCCTCGCATTTCCCGATCCTGTATCCGCTGGCCGTTGTGCAACGCGCTGCTGGCAGTACGACGAGCTGGTCGCTGGTCGCACTGACACTGTGTCTCGCATGCGGACGCAGTACAGCAGTTGTTGTGCCAGGCTTCCAACGCTCTGTTTTGTGTTGGCGTCTCCTTTGCCTTGCTTGTACACTGTTCTCTCATCTCTGAGGGCCACCCGGGCTGACCTGACGGGAACATCAGATACGAACACAACGTCAATGCTCCTCTGTCGACGATCGAAGGCCCTCCACAGCAGCCGACGGCACTCTTAAATCTGTTCAATCCACCTATAACCACCACCACTCCGTACTCCACCGACGGCGGCTTCTACCATTCTGCCGCCTCTCACGTCTTTCCCAGCCTGGACGTCAGGCCGCGCCTGGGCTCAAAGTAGGTCGCACACCGTCCCCCCGACAGCGCCGAATAGGATCGCTCCTGTCCAGACCAGACAGACAGCTCCAGATCAAACCATGGCCAAACTCACAGACTTACTTGACAGTAGCACTTCTTCGACGGGTATGGCACATGCCCACCGCTCCACAGCATTACCCCATCCTGGCACACAGATCAGTACGAGAGATCAGTATTCTCCGGCAACGCCATCTTTTAGGAGGGTCTCGGAGCACCAACCCAGATCGCCATCCTACCCAGCCGCTCTACGACGCCATCCCATATCTCCAACCTCCAGCCCTATCACCGGTTTCACTGCACCGACTGCCTTGAGGATGGACGCCTCTGGTCATTACCCCCCGTCCTCGTCCAGGACACCCATGAGCGTGCCTCCGTTGGGTCCCATTACAACTCTCGGCACACTTTCGTATAGCAACGAAGGCCAAGGAGTACCGCCGATCAAAATCGACATCCACGGAAACATCGACAAGGGCTTCTTTCAGTCGGACGGCGACTGGACCTGCTACAGGAGGAATTATTTCTCCTGTATCTGCTCCTTCAGCCTCAGCCCACACTATCCCGGGCAGCCGCTGCAATTCATGGCATCAGGCTCTACGCAGGCTTACACGGTTCTCGGCTTTGCCATGTCTATCTCAGCCGTCGTATCAGACAACGACTCCCACAGGATCGAACTTGTCCAGCACACGCCCAAGAGAGACAAGGGCCCCATCGCGCCGCCCGAGAAAGTCCGCCTTCACCCCAAATACCCTCAACAGTCCCATCCGCTTGGGCTCTATCCTCACGACAGCGGGCTTGGGGGGCCACCAAGAATTGGATACGCAGAGAGCGGAGGCTTCTCGGGTAGTGCTCCGCAGGGGAGCGACTCGTACCAGACGGAGCACACGTTCGAGCGTATCCAGTTCAAGCAGGCGACGGCAAACAACGGGAAGAGAAGGGCAGCCCAACAGTACTACCATCTGTTGATTGAGCTGTGGGCGGACGTCGGCTCGCAAGGTCCTGATCAGTTCGTTCGAATAGCATACCGAAAGTCGGCCAAGATGATTGTGCGGGGTCGTTCGCCGGGACACTACCAGAGCGAGAGGCGTGCCAGCACCAGCAGCGGACCCGGTGGTTCTGGCGGCAGCCTGACCGGATTCCCCAGCAGCACGATGCTGGGCTCGGATTACTCTGGTGGAAGCATGATGCCGGCAGGCGGCTATGGGGGAGGCTACGACGCGCGTGGGGGGACTCACTACGGAACAGCACGCCACCATCCCGAACTCGAGCCCATGATTCCTCCCGAGGATGCGAAGACCATCGACACGGCGAAAGAGTACCGTTACTTCCCTGGCGCCATCTACGAACATGCCGACTCGGCAGGAGGAGTGGAAATGTTCGCGCACCACCGAAACGGACAGGATAACATGGGGCAACACATGACGTCGACCTACGATCCTCTCCACGACAGAGTCAAGCGCGACCCCGAGGTCGGCATGCTCCCGAGCATCTTCCCACCCGGGCCGCTCATGTCGAATCAACGGTGCGGTCCGTACGAGAGCAAGTCGTCCTCGAGTGGCTACTACCCAATGGTCCCGCAGCCAGGGGTCAATCTCACAAACATGACCTGAATGACCGACGGTGGAGCCTGGGCTTCGGGGGTGGATCGACAACCCAAGCATGCGCAAGGATAACCACCTCACAGTACGAAGAAAACGACCAAGCATGTTGGCAAACAATCGTTCTGCTTTTGGCATCACCCGTTCCTCAATTTCCTTTCCTGGAGAAATATTCACAACTTTTGGCATAAACTCGATGGCGAGACTTTCGGCGTATGGAAACAGACAGTATGGGCATTTTTTGGGACGAGCGCGATATCCGAACGAGACAAAATGATGCATGTTGGCTGTTGGGAAAGACACAGACAACCTGGTCAGGCAACAGGGGTCAATGGCGAACCGGCGCGTGGAAAACAGAAAGATAATTTGGCGGCTTGGCTTGGGAGATTTGGGACCAACACACCTACCGAGAGGAAGAGAGAAAAAAAAAACACGATACGGGATGGAAAAGTTTCGGGGATAACGCTTGCTGGCTGGCTACATGGCCAAGGGATACGGAGAACGACAGGCATTATTAGGGATACCCGCTTGCGCATTCATGGATCTCCTTTTTTTTCGGTTTTCTTTCCTTTCACGTCATCCATCCCTCCTCCCCCCGGGGTATATGTCTTTCTGGCTGATCCCCCACTCTTCTTTTCTCTGGTCATATGGTTTTGTAATAATGCGAGGATATGGAACATTCGCTTCAGAAGACAACCTTTTATGATATCACACCTTTTTGCGGACAATAAGTGGAAGAAACCGGCAGAGGGACGACGAAGAAGAATGGGAGATATGGCGTTCAGAGTGAGGGAACCGAGAGACGAAAAAACGGATGGGTCACGTACCGGGAGGTATTCGCGGGCGTCGAAGCCAGGTACTTGGCATGTTTTTGTTCTGTTTTTTCTCTGTTCTGTTTGGGAATCAATCGCAACACTTTTTTGCTACGTATTATCCCCCCAGTTTTCGAAATACCAGCCGTTTGGCAAAAACTATGACATTCTCCCCCCCCAAAATCTAAGCATCCGACTCGCCGTGATGGTTCATTCTGTTGAGGCATGTTCTATTGACGCCTATCTATTCTTATGCTTGATTGCCTCAATGTTTGCGAGTCATCTGCACGTTGGCTCTGGGCAATATCGATGTGTGATCTGGGTGTTATGTCCTCCAAAGATTATCTTCTCCAGACTAAGCACGTAGCGGCCGGGCCCGGAGGAGACGAAGGAATACCGAGCTTCCAACCGGGGGCGATTTAGTTCATTCAATCCATCGTGAATGCAAGCATGGGGGGTGGCGAGCAAATGGGAAGGCAGGGCAAGAGGATTCATCAGCCTAGTGTAAAAGGCAAACCTCGCATTCCTACTGTACTGTTGCGGTAGTCGTGGTGGTAGTTTTCCCTGCATCGTGCCTTTATTACCTTCGTCGGCTTGGCCCGGAGATCCCTGCCTCGCCATCGGGTAGATGATGGGTTGGCATTGGACGGCGCACGGCTTGCTGGCTGGCTGGCTGGCGGCGGTTAAGGACGAGACGGGGACCAGCGACAATAGGAACGCCGGAGACTACAATAAATGGTATTGGAAAGGGGGGGGCTCAGGGTGAGTGAGGGTGGCCTGGAGGGAGATGGGAGTGGTTGGTGCGGTGTGTGTGTGTGTTGCACCGGCCCAACGCGCACGACGAGGACCCCTCTTCTTCTCTCTCTCTTTCTATGAGTGTGTGTGTGGATGTGCCTTTCTGTTCCCTCGCTCCGTTTCAAGGAAGCCGGCCGATTACCTGCCGCCCCCCTCTCCTCCCAGTACTCTCCTCTCTACTACCCTAATTTCTGACTCCCGCCCGCTAGCTAGCCTCATAAAACAGTCCCGGGACGGGGTGTGCAGATTCGCAGCAAGGGAAAAAAACAGACAGGAACAAACAAGGAGGAGGGTGGGCGGGCGAGGAAGGCAGAGCAAGAGAAACAACAACAAGAAAAACCCGCTGGTCTGGTTCTATACGAACCTTGTCGGAACACAGCATGAACGACGGGAAAGGGGCGTCGACGCCTCGAATTGCGGATGGCTGGCTCTGGGAGTCGAAGGCGAGAGGCGTATTGAGGGCGTGGGTGGTGATGATGTCGGGAGCCGTGGGTTCATGCGAGCTCGCGGGCGGGAGACGCCGGATGTTGTGTCGTGTGTGTGTATGCGGTCAGTGGTGAGAGGGAGAGAGGGGTTGGGTTGGTACAGATGGAGATTGAAGGGGAGCTGTTAGTTCCCGCGTTGCTGCTGATGTGTGTGGTTCACTGGATGTCGTTGCTGCTGGCGGTATGTGTGTGTGCGCGCGGCTACCCGTTCTTCGCCTTGGGATGGAGGGGTGAGAGGGGGGGCGATGAGGTGAGGTGAGGTGAGGTTCGCTGCGAGGGGGAAAAGGGATGACGGGAGGTGGCTTCTCGGATGGTTTGTGGGTGATGGAGGGTTAGTTGCACCGCGTCAGAGAATCCCGGCGCACTTTTGCTGTTGATGTTGTTTACCTCTTCTTCTTCGTCGTCCTTTCTCCTCGCCCTCCATCCTGTGTGTCACCCGCCATCCAGTTCCTGAACGGAGAATGTGATAAGTGAGCTTGCGAGATTAGGTTTGGTCGGAGCACATCTGCCAAAATTGCATATCAAATCAGGTTCAGGTGCCAGGAGATTATGGATCCATTCTGATGCCATTCGACCACCGTCTTCCTTTCATGTAATGCATTCATGCGATGTGATGAGATGGCGAGGATGGCAATTGCTTCCGCGTGTGGGAGGAGGAGGAGCAGAAGAGGGGTAAAGGGAAGTGGGAGGTCGTGGAATTGATTGTCGGCGGTTGTTGAGAGAGGTAGGTAGTGCTATGAGAATGGGTGAGTAGGTGAGAAGGAAGGCTGGACGTTCGGAATGGCGGGATGAGTTGCTGCAAGCCACGCATCCGGTACTTTGGGAGCCTAGTCACCAATCTCGATCTCGCTCCCCTGACTTCAGAGAAGAAAAAAAGGACCCCTGTTGTCCGGTCATGATTTTCTTCTCAATGTTTGTCGCTGCTGCTGCTGCTGCCCTTGCCCTGCCTAATAAGATGCATTACTGCCGGGGCTAGGTCCGGTGCTGCTGCTGCTGCTGCGAGGTCGCGCGCTAGATTGCATTGCTTACGAAAACGACTTGCGTGTGAGTCTGCTGCTGCATGTCTCAACACCCATGACGAGGACGAGGGGAGGGGGGGAAGAGAAATGTGAGGTAGAGTTTCCGCACCGGGAGAAGTGAACTCCACCGGTTCAACTGATGTCCAATTAAGGTTTTTGAGTGACATCCCGGGACCTCAGACTCGTTGTTTTAGTTTAGGGGCTAAGAGCGTTTTAGTGAGGAGTCTAAGACTCTAGAGACAAAAGGAACGGTTTTTTTTTTTTTTTTGTGCGTGTGTGTATGAGCCTTAAAGTGAGGGGAAATGTGCGATGGCTGGGCAGAAAAAAAGCAACGAGGGATGAGGGACGAGGGACGAGAACGGTCGGCGAAGCGTGATGGTTGCTTCTTGCCTGCCGGCCGCGAGGTAGCCCTGCACCTTGCTCCCTGTTGCTTCCCACCTTAGTTTGCTTTAGTTCTGGCTATAAAAAGGGAGCATCATCGTGTCGACGTTGGCGCGCAGGAGAGGGGGGGCAAAGACCGGGGCTGGGAAAGGTATTGGCATTATCCTCCGGTCCGGTGAGTTGAATGAAATCCTAGGGCAAGGGGGGCGCGAATTCCTACTCTTTCCATCATCATTGACTACCATTTTCGGATGGCATTCTGACAAAGAAGGAAATGTGAAATGCACGAGGGTCCGGGGTGCCATGGAAGCTGTCATCGGCCAAGCCCGAGGAAACCTGCTCCGATGTGACGAGATCGAGGTTCGGGGAGCGTCGGTGATGTCGGGTACGCTGTCCTTGTCGTCTAAGCGACCAATGATGAACATCAAGTTCGATGGACATGGGGAAGAAAGAGACAAGCGGGCGTTTTTTGAGGGGTGGATGGAATGCTGTTGGTGACGGTCGGTGAGAGGTATCCGTATATGGGGCGCGGGCGCGGAGGCGGGGGCAGATTGTCTGCTGAGGTGCACAGTGCGCGGGGTTTGACGTCCTCAGTGGAGTGTCCCCACTACCGCCGGGGCACCCCGAGTCCGGACGTCAATCCGGAGTCACAGTGGGTCTCTTCGATTTGATTGAGGGTGATCATCCGACACTATCTACCCATGCTTGCTGCCCAGGGCAGTATACCCACCGGACTTTACGATTTGCATGACTTCAGCTTCCTTTTGCAGATGCTTTTTTGGATATTCTGAGAGGTGACGTCGGTGAGCTGGACCGAAAGAGGCCTCAACCCCGCCATTCCGCCCGGCGCAATAGCATTGTCTGTCTGCTAAGTGCGAATACGCAGACGTTTCCCGCATTTGCAATCCCGCGCGGAAAGAGCAGAATAATTGTCAGCAGCTTGCATATCTCATGGCCCAGTTACTCGTCTTCAGTTCTCGGTCTGATACCTCCCACACCGACTTTCTTTACAGAAGTGCTGTTTGGTGAGCAGGCACTAGCAGGCGGCTGTCGATGCTCATCACGGGGAGATAGCTAAGCGTCATCCTCACAGCCAAAAGCCGGGCTGACGTTACACAATCTTCTCCCTCTCTGCCTCAGCCTTATAGCAAAGTCAGAATCCTCCCGTCTTACTCACATTTCCTCATATCTACCGCTGCCGAGCTGAGCGAATCGTCGAAAGTCCCGCTGGAATGACAGCAACTTCCGGTCTTCCGTCGCGAGAAGGGGAAAAGTGCGGTCTCACCGCATGTAGATCACTCTTCCCCCTCCCCTGTCCTTCATCAACGTCGTCATTGGGTCTCACGAGCGAGCTTCTCTATGTTTTCTTTTTCTTTTTGCCAAGTCCACTCTCGCGCTCGTTGGATGGCCTTTGATCCCGAGTCGAGGCGCTTAGTCCAGTTCCTTCAGCAACGCCCAAGATGCTGAGTCCGTGTCCCGCCACAATGTGATGCCATCCAAGGCCACGCCGCCAATCGTGCACTTCGGGGAGAGCTTGTTCCGGGACACCTCGATCGTCACATTCTTCTCCTTCATCGCCCTCTAGCCTCAAAGTGCATGATTGAGCAGGCGGCAAACGCCATAGGAGCAGCTGACTTGCTCCGTGTCACTCCATGCGACGAGACCTGCAGCCTCACCTAGAGAAGAGACAAGTTCTCACCCAGTCTTCAGGGATCACCTCAGTAGCGCCCAGCAAACCGGATCGCTTTCTGCAGCATATGCACAGCCCATGAGCCGCTCCTCTTCCTTGGAATCGGCTCACGTCTTCGGTGAGTCGTCACCGAATCTACGACGTTCCATCGGGGAATCGTCCGGCCTTGCTACGTTCCAGCCTTTTCCTCGCTAACCCGCCTTTCCCGACCCCGGAACTTGGCCGAGATCTCACGCGCAGGTGGCCCCGTCGAAAGATGATGAATGACCTGATGATCGACGAATCTCGGGTAGATCCAAGCAGATCACAGAGCCCAGTCCCCAATCGTCGTCATCCGTCCGGACAGGATTGTTGGCGCGGCGTTCTGCGACGGCGCACAGCAGCGGGCATTTACGATGCGGCCATCACGAAATGTGTTTTGCATGTCCTGTCTCACGAGAAGCCCGAACGTCCCCGGGAAGGGATGGCCGCTGATTCCTCTCCTCAGCTGCCTGGTCACTGGACCTGCTCGTGTAGGAGGGGGATGACGAATGGACGCCGTTGTGGCTGACGAGATCCCGACGTCCCCGATTGAAGCGTTACGGTTGGCTGTTTTCTCGTGTGGCTTCGCGACATCTTCAGACGCTGGAGGAACGGTCGTATTGGAACGCATCATGCATACGAGTCGCTATTTCGCGTTCTTCATCAGTGGATTGATGACCTTGTTGATGTACTGGCGGCCTCTTCTGGTTGACTCGGACAAAATGGATGGTTTGTTGACAGCTCTAATGGCGAACTTAATGGTCAGACTAAATGGTTCTTCAAACGTGTTTTGACCTGCAACTCTGAAAGACATGTTTCTACTTGCCATTCTTGTATGCACACGGCATGTGAATGGCATCTTTTGGCCTACAGCTACAATGTAATTCCAGCCAGCATCGAACCTTCCCACTTATTTGGAGCAAAACTTGGACATCAATGTTCTGCTTTCTTCTCAAAAGATCACATTTGTGGGTTAGTTGACGTTCATTGGATCCGAGTGCTTGTGCACGTGTTGGTCAGGCGGTTGAGGTTGAGGTGGATGCCCGGTCTTGACAACGCCCTCGTTTCCTCGATTGTATTCACAACATCTATCTGAGTAGCCACAAAGCCCATCGTACCATTCATGTAACTCCGGGATGTCTCTATTATACTAAATTCTAAGCACCCGTCACAGAACAAACATAGACCACCAGCGCAAACCACAAGCTGCAAACACCAAATATGACAACAGCACGCAGGGACCAAAAGAGACTACACGTCTCCCTGTTCCTCGCCTTCTGTCTTCTTCTCTTGTGGGCTCATGCCAGTGGAGTATGTGGGAGAATGTCACGCAAATACTGGATGCCAGGCCCGAGATCTTCACCAAACAGGCAGCTGACAACGCTGGAAAGATGGCTGGTGAGACTTATAAGGACGGGCAAGACCAGCAGCGGGGATATTGACCCAAGCGATTCACTTGCGCATTTTGCGTTGTCCTTGAAGCAGGAGCTGAGCGTCTGGGCACTCATAGCTAGTTAGTGGGTTGATGGTCCTGGCTGCGAGGAGCCAAAGGTGACAGGGCGTGGCCGTTATATCTACCTTGATATGCCAGTGTATGGAGGGCACAAGCGTCTGTTTTAATGACATTAATGAAGATGTAAGTGAGGTCGGAATGAGATTTGATGACGCTGCACATAGCTGAGCATGCGACACTGACTGAAATCCAACAAACCACTTGTGATGTTCTTCCACAAGTGTCAGTTTCAGTGGAAGACAGGTGTAAGAGAGATATACTGCAGCTAGAACTCGGATGTTTATAATTAACGCCCATTGGTATGAACGCGGACAAACAAAGAGCTGAACTAGGTTCAACTTCTTTAGAATGGCCTCGTCATCTCTATCTATCACGCAAAATCTCTCATCTCAGTGTCCAAAATGCCGATATCAACAAGGCCGGTGTTGTCGATTACGTCTGCACCAGCGTTGAATAAGCATGAGACGACAACGACAAAAGATGAACACGGTAATTGGAGAAGTCGACGATGAGATAGATTCATGCATTATTTATAATACGACACTGGCCAGAGCCAACTCTTGGTTGCCATCCTTGAAAGCTGCAACAAGGAATTGAGAAGTCTGATGCAATTGCCGTCTGCTTGGTTGTACGTCGTGGAGTATTTGTGCTTAATTATGACTTTTAAAAGCTTAGGCAATGGGTGGCTACTGATTGATCCCATCTCTCTATTAGCAGGGATTCGGTGGTGTCTGTTGGATTTGGCCTGGAGGTCGCGAGACTACATGATTGCTAGGGGAAGAGACAGTGTTTGCGCTTTCGCAGACGTCGATCTAGACGGGCTGGTTTGCATGCTGGCTTCAATTGAGGCCAAATCAATATTACTTTGCTATACGAACAATCTTAGAATCTGATGTAAAGAGAATTCAACTGAGGAACCGTCATGTTCAGGATATTGCGGTGCTGTCTTTTCGCGCTATTGATTGGGTATCCAGATTCTTCATTAAGAGGATATGAATCGTGAAATTTCGAGTGCCATGCTCAAGACACGCTCGAAAGGAAAGTTTTGTGTTTCATTGTACCCTTCTGCGTCTACATGGCTATTAGCACATTAGTGTAATCTGCAAGATATATCCCACACTCTCGTTAAAAAACATGTAGAAGCCGTGGCCTAGCTGCAATCTTTAACCTTCAGGAATCGTTTATGTCCCCCGAGCTTCACGCGCCTGTGATCGTCTGGGAATAGCAACGATCTAACATCGAGTCCGTTTTATTCAGGGACGCAGCGGCTCCCATGTAACTAGAAGACACCCGCCAGGGAACCACGTAAGACGCAATTTATGGATGAACGCCTATCGTTGTTACGGTTGAGATATTGACCTTCAATACTGTATTGTGAAGCTGTGGTATTGCGGAGGATTAGTAGGGTTTGGGTGCGCTCCTGGCTGTTTAGGTAGGTCACGGGGTGAACTTGTCTGTATGAGAAGCTTCGTACATCTGTGGACTTCTTCTCTTAGCCATCGAGGACTCCTGAGACCTTTTGACTGTCAGATTCAAGAAAGAATCCAGTGTATTACACTCAGGATCTCCACCAAGCGATCATCCGCAGTACCATTCCACCTCAGCAACATTAAATATGGTTGTCATCACCGAAATCACCTCTTCCAGCAAAAAAACAGACGCAAAAAGCAAAAAGATCTCCTCGACGGGGAATTGAACCCCGGTCCCCTGCGAATCGTGTTTCCATGACAAGCAGATATCCTCACCACTAGACTATCGGGGATTATTATTGTTCGATGTTGATCCTGAAGCGGAAGGTGATTATGAAGCTAACGATACCCACTCTGACCAGCCCGCTTGGGGTTAGCTGCGTAGCGTCCGGCCCCCGAGAGGAGACATAAAAAGTCATGTCACGAAAATGAGCAGAATTTGGTCTTGGTTATTGTGTGTTATGTGCAAGGGACGTCTGTGGGTGGTGATTGATGTGCATCTGATGGCTGCGCGGTTGGAACAAATTGATATCTGAGTTTATTGGTGTCCCTTACTCTATTCCCAGAAGACATCGCACTCTTAACCATTGCATCATATTAATCGTGAAAGTAGTCTCTAAATCATTCGTTTCCTAGGTATTCCGCCCCGAGGTTGTATTTTCTTCACGCAACCACGACGTTACTCCATGTCCTCGCGACTCATCCCCCGCCAACATCGCAAACCCGCCCCTCACAAGACCGACCGATCAGCGAGCAGATTGAACAACGGGTTCTTCAGCTTCGCGACGCTCATCCAGCCGCCCTCGGGGAGCTCGACGATCGTCCCGTCGATGCAGACCTTGCGCCAGCGGGGATCGCTCTCCCCGATCGTCACCCTGATCTCCTCGGCGTCCTCGTACCCGACGTAGTCCTCGCCGCCGTCCGCCGTCTCCCACCTCATCCCCACGTGTGACCCCTGCTTATACGCGGCCATCATGATCTCCATCGTCTTCTCGGCGCCCACGTCGCCGAAGTGCACCAGCTTCAGCCGGCCCTGCAGCGGCCCGCTGCCGGGGGAGATGGCGAAGGTCTTTTCCAGGTTCGAGACGAGGGCCGCCAGCACGTAGTTAAACTTCTCCCTCCGGATCGGCGTGAGGGTGTTGCCGTCAGTACCGCGTACCTCGACCCGCGCGGCGTACGAGTGGCCCTCCTTCAGCAGCTCCTGCGCGACCATGCCGAAGCGCTTGTCGCCGTGCTTGCGGTACTCGGGCGTGTCGCTCTCCCAGACCAGCTGGGCGTGGAAGCCGTAGCTGGCGACGAGGGCGCCGAAGAGGTGGTCGACGCCGACGTCGTGGCGGGTGACGTCCTGGAACTTGTCGCGGGCGCCGGGGGCGGGGGTGTAGGTGACGAGCCGGGCGCCGGTGGAGAAGGAAGCGCGGAAGCTCGGGAGCGGGGCGGGGGTGCCGAAGAAGAGCGTGCGGAGGCCGAGCACCATGTGGGAGGGGCCGTTGTCGGTGTACAGAGGCCTGTGGGAGGAGTGAAAGTTCGAGTTTCCGGTGCCGAGCGGCAGGATGGCCAGGGTCGGCAGGGTCGTGGCCGCGTCTGTTTCTTCGCAGCCGTTGAGGAGGTCGACGACGCCGCCGTCGCCGCTGAGGAGGACGATGGTTTCGGTCTTGTCGGGGGGTGCGCCCTCTGCGGCTTGCGTTCTCGCGGCCCAGCTCTGTTTTGCGAAGTCGCGGACGCTGTCGGCGTCTTTTGTGACCAAGACGTTGAACCTGTCGGATAGGCCGCTGGTCTCTGAAGACGAGCCGCCTGGGGCTTTCTGATCTGCGAGGATGACGAGGGGCTGGACGACGTTGTCCCAGAACTTTGGCGCGCGGCCTAGACCGGATTTGGTCGAGACGATGAAGTGCACATCGTGGCTGCCGGGTTTCGGGTTGAGGTGGTCTGGGAATTGTGAGAGCAGGAGACCGTTGGTGAGTTCTTGGGGTAGGTCGCCTGAGACGAAGAAGACGTCCAACTGATAAGGGAAGTCCGTTGCTTCGGGGTCTTCTCTGAGAGCGCAAATAATGGGGCTCGAGTTCCGTTGGTGATTCGGCGGGATGATGAAGACGATTTCCTCGGGTCTGACGGACTCGCTGCCGCGCTGAGAGGTGAAGCTCAGCTTGCCGTCGACAAAGGTGGCATCAAGGGCTCGGCGGGGTACGAGGCCGTGATCGCGGGGCTCAAAGCCCAGAGGTTCCGCGACATCCATGCTGGTTGACTGTGTGCTCGAGGTGGATTCGAGCGTGTAAGTGTTTCTGGGTAGGTTCTCATGAGATTTGATGTGTTTTCGGTGAGATATCGGTATGAGTGAGAAATTGTCGTCGGAGGGTTTCTAGCAGACAGACAACCTCCTAAAGCTCCCTTGGACGAAGGATATGATGGCGCCCGTTAGCCCGTTAAGGCAGGTGGCGGTATCTCTGAGAGGATGAATTCACCGTATCCGTAGTCTCAGATTATTAAAAATAAGCCGGATGCACTGGGCCAAGCGATGATGTACCTCCTACATCCAATTCCGAGCGAGCAAACCGGAAGCCGCAGCGAAGTGGAATTGTAAGCAGCACACATGAGCGTCGTGTTGCATGTGCCTGACAAGGTGTGTCATCCGGCCACCGATTGCGTTATTTCGCGCGCCCTTTCGCTCTCGCCAGCCCCCCTGCCAACTCTACAGGCCACCACCTGCTGGCAGTTGAGGCCTGAAGAGCGCCGAGAATGCGGGGCAGATCTCGCTGAAATCGAGGCAAGATTAGGAGATAGCGCCCCAAACTCTAGCGGTTGCCAACGCCAAACTAATCGCACCTTCGCAGTTGCCGTCAACTCCCACCGCACTCCCAATTCACAAACAAACCACCGCAACAACCAAAAAAAAAAAAAAAAATCATCAACCTAGCTCGCGGAGCAAAAGATAAATCGCCAAAATGATGGGAGCGGGGTTCGAACCCGCGCACTCTCACGAGTAACAGAGCTTAAATCTGTCGCCTTAGACCACTCGGCCATCCCACCGCGTATTCCGATTTGGGATTATGTTGACCGCGGAAGCGGGCTATACGCGGGGGTGTGAGGCTCGCCTGCGCGCGCAAGCGGGCTCCTCTTGGGCGAGGCATCCACCTTTGCGTGCGTGGTGGTGGGCCGCCGCATGCCAAAAGCCTGGCAAGGTCACAGGTGTGTCTTGTTCGGCCGGCTGGAAGGGAATGGCGCCGGTCGATTAACCTTCTCCGCGACGGTCCGGGTCAGTGTGCGATTTTCGGCCGATGCCACGGGCTGTGAAGTTTGGAGCAACGGGGGACTGTTACCTCGCAGTGCATTGTTGCTGTTGATGTTCAACTGTGGTATTGGCTTTCTCTCCTTGGCTAAATCACTTTTCTCTCTCGCTTCCTTCCGTCCATCACTCCCCCTTCGCTCGCGTCATCGGGCCCCAGTTCTCCCTCGGGTTCATCTGGTATCTGACCAACTTCCTGCCCTGCGTACGCTTACCCAGCTGCGCCAGCTTCTCGTCAAAGACAAGCGTCTTCTTCAACTCCTCTGAAAATGGTTTCTTCTCGCTCTTGTCCCCCGCCGTCTCCGTCTCCGAGGTCTCCTTCATCTCCGTATCCGTCTTCTCGCCCTGCTCTGCGCCGTTGCTTTCCTTCGCTTCCGCCGCAGCTCCTTCGGCTTCCTCGACCGGCTTGGCGGCGCCGTTGCTCTCCGCCTTATCAAGACCAAGCAGCCTGTACGCCGGCATCTGCGGGTTGAGCTTTTCCGTACGAACGGGTGCCTTCTGGCGGACCCACTCGCGCATGATGAACCAGATCGCCTCCCACGGCGCGTCCGTCTTCACGCTGCCCGGTCGGCAGTGGCTGCGCGTGACGCGGTACCCGAGATGCCTCAGCGCGCCCCTGAAGACGTCGTCCGGCGGCTGCTGCGTGTTGAGCGTGCCGGCGAGCCTGCTGGGCATGACGAAGAAGGGATAGTCGTCGACCCTGGCGAGCTCCCTGTCCTTGGGGTCCACCGCCTGCGCGGGCTCCGGCCCGGGAATGTACTCCTCGAGGGCGGTCTGCAGCATGCCCTCAATTCTCGTCGTCGTCTGGTAGACGCTCTTGTCGACCGTGGGGATGAGGTCGAGGATGCGCTCGATGAACTCGGCGTTGTGCAGCGGGCCGCCGTACATTGGTCCGGCGATGTGCTGCGTAGACCCGCAGTGCTTGCAGTGCGAGTCGGTAGGAGGGCCTTGGGAGAGGCCGTGTTTGTAAAAGTATCCGTCCTTCTTCTTGGGGTAGGGGCGGCTCCTCACCATGGGCTGCGTTTCCCATGCGGAGCATCCCGGGCAGTTGTACATGATCATGGTCTTGCCGCCCTGGTAGTTGACGGCGTCCTTGGACTTGCGGACCTTGAGGAAAATTCGGCAGTAAAAGTCGATCGAAAGAGAAAGCTGCGGCTCCACGGTCAAGCCGTACTTGGCTGCTGCGCTCGCCAAAGCGTGGATGATGATGCGCAGCCCGACTTCGTGAGAGTGAAGACCCTTGATGGGGACACCGCCATACAACGAAAAGCTCTTCTCGGCGTAGCAGTGGCCGGCCCAGTGGCTCGCGTCGGTGCAAGTGACGCAGAGCAGACCACCATCGTCCCTGACGGCCTGGACGGCGGCGTCAATGAAGGGCGCAGCAGTCCCGTAGGGATCGAGGTCGATGACGTCGTACTTGTTCTCCTTGCTAGGGTTACCGAAGCGATCTCTCTTGGACAAGTCATCGGCGATGCGCCTGTACATGTGAGCAATCGCATCGTCGTGGTTCGCCACGATCTTGTCCTCCAGGCCGTTGTGCTTCGCGTTCAACTTGATAGACTCGACGGCAGACTTGGTGAGGTCGTTGGCCGTTACAGACGTCACGAACGGCAGCTCATGCGAGTAGCGCAATGCGCGGAGTCCGGACGCGGAGAGGGCGTCGAGAATCGTGAATTTAGGGGGAGGCTTGGCGGGGTTGGACTTCTCCTCTCCACCATTGCCCTCGTTCGTAGTTGAAGTCTTCGCCTCTTCTGTCTTGGCATTCGCGTCGCTGGTAGTCTTGTCCTCAGCACCGGCGGTTTGCGCCTCGCCAGTCGTGCTCTCTGCAGGCTTGCCGTCTTCCGTAACCTGGACCTTAGCCGGCCTTTCGCCGCTCTCATCCCCAGCAGGACGCCGCCTCTTCTTCTCTTTGCGCTTGGATGCGGGGTGCGTCGCTTTACGCTGAATCACCTCCTCACCATATGCTCTGATGGCCAGTACTGAAAGATCGCGGTTGAATTGCTGAATCGGGTTGTAGAAGACCTGTTGCTTCCCCTCCTTTCCTGCCGCCTCGACAGGGACCAAGATGGTGGCCTTGCCCTCCTTCACTCCCTTGAAATCCTTGCCATCGTAAGTGATGACGGGATCTTCGGCGCTCATCTTGTCGGTTGCCGTATCCTTGGTGGCTAGGTCACTGTTCAGTCTGGCGAATGCGACGCTTCGTAAACCTGGTAGACTTTGGCAAGTGACTGCTTGAAACGTAGGGAGTGTTCTCGGAAGCCTCAATGGTGCAGTTTGATGTAAATGCCGGCTCGCAGCGCGTGTGCCTTGGCGGAAAGCTCTTCGAAGGTACGAATTCAGCATGCAGACATGTGATGTGATGGGTCTTGAAATTTGGGCCGATACCTTCAATGGCTCATTGAAAGTCAAAGGTTGTCGTTCGTCCGAGAGAAATTTCAGTGGGTCTGTTTATTCTGCCGAGGGCGGTGAGTCATTCGGTCACCTTTACCGAGCGATTGGATTGAATCTTAACCTTCTCTCAATTACAGCCATATCGAGGCTCCTTCATTAGTGCTTTACAGTAATCACCGTAACATACCATTCTCGGTTCGCACCTACTAAAATACATGGCCACTTTGCTTCTGTCGCCACCAAAAACACAATGAATTATGTTCAACATCCCAATCGTCTCTCCTCAATAACCTTAGCTCAACATCCATAACACAAGCTTCTAGCAGACTGTTCCTTGTAAAAAAATAGCGCGAGTTTTCCCTTACTTCTCTCCATCCTTGGTGCCAGCCGCGGCATCAGGCGCAGTGGCCGATCCAGAGAGCCGGGATGCAATGATTGAGTTGCGGCCGTTGTTGGCTGGCGTCTGTCCTGGCGTTGCCGGCCCATGGTCTTGCTTCTGACCCTCGGGAGCCCGCTGTCCGCTCTGGAGTACAGAACTTGGAGTGTACACTGCAGGAATGTTGGCTTGAATGGTTTGCTTAGCTTCCCAGTAGAGATCAAAACACTGGACGATGACCTGGTCGACGGTCATGTCTTCAGGGACGACGCCAGTATCGAGGACTTTCTTGATATGGTCTTCAACGTCGCTGAACTCTGCTTGGTCGGAGCGGTAGCGATCAGGAAGACCGCTGTTGTGCAGGAGAGCGAGGATGCCGGCGTTGACGGTGTTGGTTGCTGCAATGACAGTGATCGGGGTGCCATCTTTGAACGAGATGGAGCCAATGGCTGTGAGGACTGCGCCCAGGATGATCTGAAGGATGTAGCCGAACCAGCGAATGGTGCTCATGCCATGGTAGAAATAGAAGTACTTGGTGCGCATCCAGATGACATCTCGGTACAGGCCGTGGGGAATGCCCTTAGGCGGGTAGTACCAGCAGGTTGCGTGAAGTGCAATATGGCCTTCGGTATCCTTGACACCACCGACGCCGTGAGCGAAGATGGCCCACTCAGAGGGTGTGAGGAAGCGGTATTTGATGCGGCGCTGCTTCTTCTTCTTGGGCCCGGGATTGGCCTGAGGTGAAAAGAAGCCCGTTATGGCTTCAATGGCGCCTTTGCCTTCGTCCTGCTTGGCGGCATTTTCGGCATCTTCTTTCTGGGCCTGGATTTCCATGGCTTCCTCTCTGTCGGACTCGATACCGTCGAGCTGTAGGGGTGGAAGAGTTCTCATGGTTGGCAACTGAGTTGTACACCCTTGAGGAGCAACGTGCTGGAGGTTGGAGGTAGTGTATGTCTGTGACGAGGAAGGTCAGCGATACAATCCGACCCATGTACTTTCACGGCTTACCGAAGCAGGTTGCAGATGAATGCACGACCAAGAAATGCCAGATTCAGCGTCCTGGGCTGGGTGTCGACGTTTAGAGGTCGTTGATGTAGATGAAGTCGGATGAAAGGCAACATGGTGAGGTCTTTCGAGGACGTTCTTAACAAAGCTCCTGAAGCGACTGCGATGCACCTTCTCATCGAAGAAACGAAGCATACCATGCTTGTTGTGGAAGCCGCGCTGGACTGTTGCAAAAGGAAGAAAGAGCTGCTCTTTGCAGTTCACGAGAAGGAAAGAGCTTCTCTAGTCAACGAAGGCGGAGCTCTGGAACAAGACAAGGCCGCCACTTCCATTCTTCAAAGATTACATTAGTAGCAGTAGGAAACATCAAAACTTACAGTCGCCAAGTGGTAAACAGAAGCATCTGTCCATTTTGGACAGCATCCACGAGTTGCAATTCCATTGTTAGTCTTCACGATGTGGCAAAACAGCTAAAAAGACATACAACACCAGGTATTCGCTGGTCGTCACCGACCTAACTACTAATCCGGCCCTCATTACTTATACCTATGGGCAGCTATCATCTCAAGGTTGAAGCATATTACTATAACTAACGGACGATGGCTATCTCAAAGTAAGCGTCTGGGCGGAATCCTAGACAAAGCTAAGCATTAGGGGGAGACTATAGGTATACTAAACCATCACACAAAGCACAAGACCTCAATAGAACCTAGACATACATATACATTAGTAGAGAACTACAATCTACACAAGGACCCAGCCAAATGTAGTGGAGGTTGGAGAGCAAAGCGGGAGTTTTGGAGACAGCTGGTCGACGTTTTCATCGTTGGCGAAGTGGGGCGATACGGATTAACACCCGGACCGCGTCGGCTGTCGGCCGAATCCCGCTATCCGAGCATAGGTACAATCAATCAATCAATCACAAGTTAACTTCACCCTTAGTCTACCAGGACACTTCGCCATCCATTTTTGCTGTCGGCAACATGTTTTCCCATGATATCTCGTCTATGATGATGAGGAAGTTCGGCGGCGGCCCGGACCTCTTTGGCAAGGAGACTGGAGCGCGCCTCCCCCTCCTCTTTACTAAGGTGATGGAGGCTCGGCCAGCTGCGTCACAGAGTTTGCTCTTCCGTCTTCCACCAGAGATCCTCGGCGACATAATGGACTTGATTGCAGATGAAAAGCCTTCTCTGGCGTCTCTCGCTCTTGTCAACAGTGACTGCAGGCAGCTCGCTCGATCCTGCCAATTCGCGGTGGTCACCTTCGACTACAGCCCAGCATCTCATCAACTTGCCCAGCTCCTCTCAACAGAGGCCATCTCTAGAGGTCCTCAGTCGCGCGGTCGAATCGGACCATGTATCCGACGTGTGAAAGTGGCGTCAGACCCTGGCTGGCTCATGGGTTTCCATGAAGAGCTCTATAACTCGATTTGGGGAGCCGACAGAGGCGAAATAACCAATGCTTTAAGAGAGTATGTTGGTTCACTGAAAAAAAAGGCCGAGTTGGAGTACATGGCCCATCACCAGATGCCCATTCTTCTTGGCATCGGAGCGATGCCAAATTTGGAGGCCATTTCCTGGCTCGACCGACTGTGCCAGAGTCCCTATTTATTTACGACTCTCGCCGGATCTTCCGTTCAACATATCAAATTTCACGGCACAGTAAGCGAGGGACTTCTAGGGATACTAGGCCAGCTTCCTGCACATTCATTTCAACAAGTTCGGTGTTTGGACCTCAACTTTAACCTTTGTCGAGATAGTCAACACAAGGTTGAGGAGGTCACAATCACAGATTGCGATATAGGCACCGCCAAAGCACCCGACAACGGAAATTTATTCGCAAAACGGAAGCTTCAAAGCGATTGCGATGTCATCGCAGCGCTTATCAAGCGGTGCGAGCAGAGTCTTGAGACACTAGTCGTGGACAGAATGTTCCAGATGGACAAGACTGAAGAGAGACTATCATTGTCAAGCCAAGATATCAACCTCCACAGTCTACGAACTCTCGACTTGTCGTCCTGCGACGTGGACCTGACTGCTTCGCGTGTCATGCTCTGCCCATCGCTTCGCCATCTCTCCATACCATGGGATTGGGATGAGTCCTTCTTGTCTTGCGAGACACTTCGAAACCTCGATACCTTAGTTATTCCATTCCTAAGGGAAACACCGGGGAGGCGCTCTACTGTTAGCCCGTGGATGAAGTTCCTCAATCGCCACTCGCACATCAAGAAATTGTGTCTGGACCGAGGCACAGACACCTTCATTGACGATCACCTCCTACCCTGCTTGTCCAACGGTAACTGGGCCAATTTGAACTCACTATCGTTGACATGGGAGGGGCCAGGCATGGAGAAATCAACTCGGCCACACATTGCCCGGGTGTCCGAATCTGCACTAGCCGCAATTGGGTCCTTGGATAGCCTCGAGCAGCTCAGTTTGACCGCAGGGGTTACTTGTGGCTGGCGTCGCCAATGGCTGATTGACCACGATGCTGTTCGAGAGTCTCTCAAAGGCCTCACGCGATTGAAAAGACTCGCCATATCCCGAGATACGTACCCGGTTCCATTCGACCTGGAAGAGCCGGAGTACTACTACGCGTTCAAAGCCGCCGATCCGGAGGACCGCAAGCTTGCCAAGAAGCGAAACTGGATAAATGAGCTCGAGCCGATTGGGGATTCTGGCGGCGAAACCGTGCATGAGGCGGATAAAATTTGGGAGTACGCACACCGCTACAGAATGTTCAAGCAAGCCGAGAAGTACGCCGAGATGATTCCGACGCTGGAATGGGTCTACTGCGGCGAATGGCCGATGAAGTTCGTTGGGGACCGGCAGACGAGGCGTAAGATTGCCTGGCCACTGGCTAAGACACGGGAGTCGTGCTGGTCGTATCTACGTCGCACGTTTGGCATGGGCCATGAAGAAGATTGAATGTGAGTCGCAGGTGAAGGAGAGGAAAGGCCGGGAGGAGCGGGAACTAAGCTATATCAACGATTGGCGTTTATCCCGAGGAACAGAAGAAGCGAAGGTAGAAGGGAAGAAGCGACGGTGGCAGGCAAGAGGCAGCAGGAACCTTATTTTCGAGTTCTTAGAATTAGTATTATCTGCTACCACTCACTTCTCTACACGTTACCTATACACACGCCTCCCGGCCAGGCGGCTACTCGGGCTTCCGGGCTTTCGGGCGGGTCACGGAGGCGGCCCCTGTCGCCGAACCGCACCCCGATGTAGCAAAACAGCCAAAAAGACATACAACAGCAGGGATTCGCTGGTCGTCACCGACCCAACTACTAATCCGGCCCTCACTGGAATCGTCTAGATAGAGCGAACGCGGCTCATTTCATAATAGATTCACCAACTGAAAGCGGTGGGCACAGTTCTTCAAAGCGGACGGAGTGGAACATAAATTGACCAATTAGATACCGTCTTTGATGGTGAAATTCCCGTCTGCTTAGCTTCCAACGTTGGCAAACTATCTCTACCCCAGGGGGTGATCTGAGCAAAGGTCTCAGGTGCAGACAAGAACAGCTCAGACATCTACAATGGTACTGCCTGGGCGCTTCTGGCTGAATTCAGGTTCATCGCCAAAACGACAGGGTCTCGACCTTCCAAGGTAGCCAATGCCCTCTTTCTCTTCTTCCAATGGCTGATGAATCTGACTTTTGGTGCAAAGAGCTGCTCAAGCATTGGGTAATTGGCGGGGTTTGCCTTCCTCGAGTGATGTTTATCGCATACTGTTGGGACAGAGCTCGTCTTGGCCGAGCAGCGTGTTGACGTCTCCGCTAAGTGGGCAGCCTCGTTCTAGCGAATCTATGAGTCTATGCCGGCCCAAGGCTACAGCGGAGGCCAGCGGAGGCTGACGTACCGGCGCAGTCTCCGGAGAGCGACGTTGACCAAGGCTGGTACGCATGGTATGCGCACAACTCACAAATCGTGGTGGGAGAATTTAAGGGAAAGGATCATCGGTGGTCACCGGTGTTGTATGGGCACCCGGGTCGCTCAGCTAAATAGGGGCAGAACGAAGGGGAAAAGATGCAGCGCAGTCGGGAATACATGTCGATGTCGTCCTTAGCCAATTCGAAAGGGAAGAGGATATCCCTAATTTCGTTCACGCCTACTAGTACCATAGAAAACGTCATTCCTTGCATTAGGTAAGATAAGGAAAGGTTATCTTTGCCATCTCCGGCGGGGAGGAGACTAGAAAACAGTCACAAACGTCCCGAATTTGGGTGTCGTTGCTTGCCTTTTGATTTGGACCAAAAAACCATCTCCAGATGCATCGGCAAGTCGCCTCTCGCATACACAGACCACCATGAGGTCTTTTTGATCCGTCAGCAATGGAATGCATCCTGGGCCCGCCCAAAGCAGTCCGAGTCCGAGCCAGGCAGGAATCTGGATTTTAGGTCAGAAATTGCCTGCCTTCTGTAGGGAAAGGATGGAGATTAGTCAGCTAAGCCCCTGGTGCACAGAGGGGACTGCTGCCTCTGGCTAGCCCTAGTCATCCACGTTCCCAGCCTGTTTTCTCCCTCCTTCCCTCCCAGCATCCCAGCCAGAAATAAAGACACCAAACCACACGGCCACCACCCAGATTCACTCAATAAAACACCTGATAAGTGTCCCTTTGCCGCCATTCGTCACTTTGGTGCATCATTAACATATGCACATTCATCACCTTGTGCGCAATGCCCTTGTCCTTTCTTTAATCTCTCGTTATTTGCTGACGATGCCATGGACAGGTGCACATACTCTCGTCGAGATGGCTGACAACGCGTATATCTGCTCCCTTAAGGCCGACCACGTCGACGAGACTCAAGGTCAAGGGTTGCTCCCCCAAGGTCACAGTATACTCGACCAATGTTTGGATTTCGCAATCGAGCTCTCCAAAGGCCGTTTCTTCCAACTCTCATCTCAATTCCCATCCAATGAATTTTCTCTCAACACCACCGCCTTTGCCGATCTCACACACCTCCTCCGAGACGACCCCCGAGTCTCGATTGACGAGATCCGCCTCGAGTATGACCCAAGCTCTGCCTGCGCCCGTTTCAAAATGCCTGCTTCCCGAATCCACAACTACATCGCCAACCAACTCTGCCAGGTCGTCGTCACTGCCAGCGCCAGCGTACTACCTAACCTCCAGTGGGCACGAGAGGAGAATTTGGTCATGGACGACGACCAACGGGCTGTCATCGTGGACGCGGCTTAGTTAGTCAGCTTCAAGGATCGCAACCCTCGCGTCGTTGCCGAAATCGTCCATTCCTCACCCAACAGCCAGGCAGCCATCGAGGATAGGTGCACCGAATGCCTCCAACGTACGAACGGGTTCATCCGCGCCGCCATCGCCATCAAGATCCCGTACGAGTCGTCCTACGCCACTGATGCCTCCCCCCTTCGCGACCGCCTTCACGAGTGTCTCGTCAGTCTCTGGGTCTGGCGTGAGGGCCAAGTTCAATGCGACATTCACTGGAAGAGCATCAACACGAGACGCGCCTACCTGACGCTGAAGAAGTCTTACTTCACCGACGACGTCCCCGCGCCTCCGTTTCCCACTCAGCACAGGTAAGCCTCTTCACTCTCATATCCGCTGAATGCTTCTCATGTACTGACCCGATGCTTTTCCTCCAGCACCCGCAATCGCAACCGCCTATCCACGCCTTCCGAGCCTACTGAGCCCGCCGAGCCCGCTGTCTGTATCCCTTTCACCCGGTTGAAGGAAATCATCGAGCAGGCCATAGAGTATCAGATCAGCGTCCAGTAGAAAGCCTGAACGACCCCAACTCGGCATAGTATCGGTTCGACATCGTGGACGAGGCAGCAATGGGTTGGGCCGTGATTGGGTGGCCAATAGAGTTCCTGACGGCATGAGACGCTTGTCATGGGGGCGGGAGAAAGAAAGCAACACACCGATTGGGTGGGTGTGGGCTGGAAAAGGTCTTGTCTAAGTTGTCTTGTCTAAGTTGAGCATGGGGGTTGCCTCGACTTGACTCGATTTATGCCATGGGGATACATGGAAGTATCCGCCGTCACGGGCAGTAGGCTTGGATCATTTAGGTATAGAAGAGGTCGTTTCACGGAAATGCTACTTGTAGAGAATAGAAAGGAAAGCATACTATCGCGATACGCGGCAGACCCATCGAGAACGCGGCAACAGCGTTCGATTTATGATGTGACATCCCTCCCCGAGACGTGACACGGCGCGACGCCACGACGGTAACCAGACACACTTGACCTGTTTTCAACACTAATGCAGAGGCATGGCCGGATCCGAGTCTGAGTTGACTAGTCTGCACACTCACTCCCGCGAGCCGCTCGACCATGTTGCGTGGCGTCTCTAGTTTTAAGCAGTAAGGACCTCACAACGCTATTGCAAGAGCTTGGCAGTTTCAGTCAGTCGTATCCTTCTCGTGCTGTGACTCTCCAAGTACCACCAGTCGGCTCAGCGCCGATGTCCCCACACCTCTGAACTGGAACCGTGCCGCCGGGCATGCGTGCTGCCCCAAGATGACGTGTCGATGACACATCTTCTTCACTCACTATACTGGACCCTCTCCCCAATCAACCCAGCACAGAAGAGGGTTCGCCAGGGGAGCTCCAACTTCATACATTGCTAATTAACGTTGGGAGCGCAATCACAAGCTCGTGGAGCCTCATCACTATCTCTTCAAGATGAGAGACAGCAGCTTGCTCATTTCCTCGTCCCATCGTTATACTCTTCACTCGATTCAGAAAACTGTTTCCCTCGTGCGCTTGCGAAGGCGCAGAGAGGACGAGACCTCAGGAGGCCTCTGGCACAAGCCGTCTATCCACCGCCTGGGGTTGCATTCTTCTCAAGGTTCACTAGCATATCGTCGCAAGTTCCTGTATCTAGGGACACGATTGACTGCACATTACCAGCCATGCATGCATGCCGACTTTGTTCTCATTTGAAATACAGTAGCAGCCTGAGAAAATCGCTGAGATCCCAGCCTTTGTTCCATCTTTCGTTCCAGCTAATGCATCACATCCAGCCTTAATGCCCCTCCATGGCATTCTCAATCACCTTTCTCAATCCGTCTAATAAGGCTTGGATAATATCACCCAACCTTCGCGTGAAAGGGCGAGGAGCTTTTCAGAGTTCGGTTTTACAGTTCCATCCCCACCAGTAACCGTGGCGTCGGGGCGGGTGGGCGGATGGAAGTAGTTACGGGCGGAGGACGGTATGGCGGCGCGAGGGCGGGGCGCAGCCGAGCCACCGTTTCGCGTGCTGAGTCAGCAGGGATCCTGCTCTTCTAGATGAGCCTGCCCTCATTGGCTTATCTAAGGGAGAGCGGACGGGATCCCGAGTTTTCCAATGGGTATGGTCGTATGTGGCAGAATGTGACGCGCAAGATGTTTATATCGGGATCGAGGTGACGACCGACTTGCTGGGTAGACTTCCATAGCAGAACCATTCCATAAGAGACGCGTAAAACACAAGTTAGCCACGGCCCGTATTTAGTATTTCTCGCATTGAACTCCTACTATTAGACCTGTAATAAAAGTTTAGTTCCTATTAGGCAGTCCTTAAGATATCTACCGTCCGGCCGAGTGACTCACCCACGACGTCAACGCCACCTACTTCGCCTCTTCCTGTCCATCTCAGTCACAATCATTCCCGTTTACTGATGTTGGATCCAATGCTCTTCAACAAGTTACATTCAAACCAAGGCCGGTTTGTCCAGTGGTAAGATCCTTGCTTTGGGTTCACATGAAGTTCAGCAAGTGACCCGCGTTCGATTGGCGGACCGGCCCTTTTTGTCAGCATAATGTCTTTCTGCGTTGTCAGTGATATTCTTCATCACAGGTATCACGTTGATATTCATCTGGGCCAACCGTTTAAGTCTCAGCAGACGTCGGTCGATCTCTGGTTGTAAAAGCCTTAGAGGGAAACAGTGATGACAATACTAACGGACGACATGATATTGACGAGAACATTATTCGATGTGGACTACTAAGTTCGAACAAGACACCACTTCCACCCATTTCAGGGCGGCGGGAGCGGAGAGCAAGAACGTTGTCACTTAACGAAATGACATTCATAGAGACTGTTCTAGTCCCGGAGTCCAGATACTCGCCTGCAGGTTGATTCGAGACGACATGTTGGCATTGAGTTGCTACAAGCTACAACACCACCGCACATTGACTACCCGGAGAGAATAATTCAAGTTTGTCTGACTGTGTTACTGTTTTGACAACCTATGCTGCAAGTTGATATTGGATTGGTCTCAGTCGATGAAAGGAATGTCTCGATGCGGGATACGGAACATCCTGGTCCTATCTGCGAACTCCACGTCGATCCGGAATACTGATTTCGGACGAACTCCAATCCTGTTATATTGCACACGAGGCCCGATGCGACGCTCTATTAGAGAGAATCCAGGTCGTTGGATCCGATCAGACGTGATGCTACCCGAAGTTCTCTGGCTACGAACCGGATCTGGCATCTGCGCCAATCTCCATCATCGGTGACGATTGCGTATAAGCCGGTGAGTTGCGCCCTCCATCACCGGTACACTACCCGACGGGGAGACGAACCAACCTGCTCGGCCGGGCCGGAATCCGTGGAAATTGCCACGCGGGTGAACAGCATAAACGACATCCCACCAGTCGCTTGCGACGGGTTCCTGGACTGAGTTACCGGACCGATCTCAGATCGCGGGGAAGATGAGAGGCCGTCAGACCGAGGCGGGCTTCGAACGTCCCAGACCGAGTTACCCGTCAAAGACATGGTGGTGTTGTGGAGGACACCGGTGAGCAATCGCGGGCTGCAAACAGGCGGGGAAGTTGGGACGGGATTGATCGGACGAAATGTGCTGAGGGTGTGATGCTGTATCTTTATTCGTACGTACTGCGATACGGCCAGGCCCAGGAACGTGAAGCCGCTTGGCTTTCCGGGGAGCCACACCGGCAATGCAGGAGGGCGCATTCGATTCGGGAAATGTGAAATCTCAATTGGACAAAGTTGTGCCCAGAAGGTGCTCTCGGGCAGCTGGTTCCTGGCCATTGCAGATATCACGCACCTGGTCCTGAAGCTGAATAAATTTAGGAAGGCCCGATGTGAGGTACTCTCGGGTCTCGGGGTCAGGGAGCTTGGCTCGTATCGATGCAGGTCCGGAAGGTGAGGGAGCGGGTACTAATGGCACACCGTTACGTGAGAGGGCAATCTGATGATGGGGGAACACCGCTGGGGTAGTTAGTGCGAACCCCAGACTGACAGAAGATGAGGAGCGGATAGATGCGGAGTGGGAGATGGAGAGCAATCCGGATTTCCCTTCTAGTTGCCTGTACGGGAAAGCCGGGCTTCTCGGCGGTTTGTAGAGACAATGGGGTGATTTGGGGTCGTGTTTCCAATTCATTTCCTGGTCAAGTCGGGAGCATGATCTGGTTGGCGATGGAGGCTCCTTTGCGCGCGTATTGGTGTCAGATTTCCCGGGACTTTTGGGGTCCGAATCAGCGTCGTGGGGGGAGAAACGAGGGTTCTGATTGAGGCGGCAAAGGATTAGGGAGGAGGCAGGGCAATGCGCATGTCCAGCCACAGTATGGGAAGCCTGTAGCGCGTGCGTATCTGTATAGGTGCGCAATTATCGAAGGTCACGATAAGGCGCGGACATGAGTCCGTTGGAGGTGCCCTGAGCTGAGGTTAGCAAACAAACACGCCACCGGGCGATAGCGGCTGCGATGCCCTCGGCGGTCTTTTGTGCGCTGGATCTGAGGCGGAGAAAAGCAAATTGCAGAGACGAGAACAGCTGAACAGGCTGTGAGAATCCGGATCGAATTGGGAAAGAGGAAGCACCACGGCCAGGAGCTAGCATACCTCACGGATAGGGATAGGGAGAGGAGCAGTGGGGTTTATCGGCGGGTATTCCCATCGTCACCGTCACTGTCAGTGACAGGCGCAAGCCCAACCATGTCGCTATTTCGAGACCCTTACCCTGCCACTGCCACTGCCAGCCTGGAGACTGGATACTGGAGACTGGGGGAAGTCAAGGCTGGGGTTTGGGGATTGTTTGAGTGGAGGAGGGGCGAATTTGACCGAGAATCCCCATGAGCCAAGAACCACTCACGAAGCCCAAGCCATCCACGGACCACGGGTGGGAGAGAGCACCTGGAGGAGAAGGAAAACACCAGGGCAGGTCCATTCGGCTCGGGTGAGGTGATATCGGTAGCCAGAGGGGTCCGGAGCCGGGGTCGGGGTCGGTTGAAAACACTTCAGGGCGAATCTGGAAAGTAAGGAGATCGATCCCCTGCTTGCCTGAAGTGAACTGACTGCCACCCCAGTCCGGGGCACATCTTTCGATGTTTCCCCACAGATAAGGTCACAAAAAAAAAAGAACAAAAAAAAAAAAGATCCTTCCTTCCTGCCCTTTCCATGCCGCACACCCTCCCCCATACCTACCCTTGTCCTGATTCCTTCAACCTTGCCCCTTCCTTGCTTCCCTTCCCCAGTCCTTTCCCCCAAAACACCACTTCATTCCTAGCATCTGCAGGCGCATCGCACCGCAGCATCATGGCATGGAACCACTAACCATCAACCCGGCGCCTTTCCAAACTCCTGATTGACGGAAATCCTCCTCCGACGACCTTCTATTGTGCTTCCATTCCAGGGAGAGAAACGATACCTGCGTCGCCTATCTCTGGCCCAGAACCTCCCGTCCTCCTCAACTGTCGGACACCTTCCTGAAATCTGTATCCGTACGTACAGGGCTCTGTCGGAACAATTCAATCAGTCACAACGAACGA